TCAACCTGCCCCAAAATCTACAAAAACCCACAAAAACCCACAAAAACCCACAAAAACCCACAGAAACCCAAAAACCCACAAAAACCCCAAAAACCCCGGAAAAACCCCAGGGGTTGGGTTTTTCTACAAAAACCCCGGGGTTTTCCAAACCCTGCTTGTAAATCCAACAAGTTTTTTATATTCTGAAAAACTGATTTTTTTGTCATAATTTAATTTAATTTAATTTGAAAATAATCATACCAAGAAACCATTTGTAAATCTTAGCGGAATTAGCAACACAATTTATCAAAACCAATTTGCATCAATTTGGCATTCAACTTAACTAGCAAAATATTAAATTTACCAAAAGATGGTTTATAATGTAAATCTGATTTTCTCAAATTTTTTGCATAAATTGAATTACCACTTGTAATCCTACAATAAGCTGGGACATGACTTTTGTAAGGTTTCGGTTACATAAGTTCTCACCGTCGAAATTACCACGAGATGAAACCTGCCCGGCTTCTAATGACACTAAACTTTCTTAACCCACGCCACGCAACGTGTCATGCTAAACCTCCGGAGGCACGTTCACCTCGACACGAAAAGTCATTCCGGGCACCATGAAAGTATAAATACAATAATATCTGCATCTATATTTTGACCGCAGGTTTTTCAGATTTGGAAAAAAATTATCCAGTATGGATGGTTCGAATTTTAAGAAATACAAAATGGTAAGCAATTCCAATATTGTGTTTGTAGAAACAAATTACCTGTACATCTGCAAATCTTTACAGAAGTGTATGCACATTATGAAAGAATGTCAGTTTTTAATGCAAAAATGGAGATTTATATATACGGATAAAAATTAAACACAATTTTTGCAATACACTCTTAAAAAAATCAATAACCGTTGGTATTGATACGTGACTCTACCGCGTGGTATTGATCCGGTATTGAATTAATACTACGTAGTAAAAAATGTAATACCAATTAGTATTAAAATTATTACTATGAGGTATAATTTCAATACTGGTTCTATACCAATATGGTATAACCGTTTAATACCAAAGCGGTAGAGTCACGTATCAATACCGTTAGGTTTTTTTCAATACCAAGTTTTTAAGAGTGTAGATTTGGGAATTTTTTGGAACCTTCTGACAAAAAGCACAAATTTACACGGAAAAAATACTAGCAGTTCAACATTAAATGACAACGCCTGAATGATAAATTTTATCGTTCAGGCGTTGTCACTTTCTTGTGTTTTTAAGTGAATTTTGTCGAATTATGACTCAAAATTTTCACACTTCGCAAGCTAAAACCTCATTGCCTTATTCAAAACCAAATTATTATAATTTCCATCAATCTCCACTCCGACGTTTTAACCAGTCAAACTCCAAAACTATGAAGTTCTAGCTAAAATATGTGTACTAAAGGATTAAATCTATCTGTAAATCTTGTAAACAAAATCTTACAATGTACACTAAAACTTTGGTTAAAAATATTTCTCCCAAAAATTTTTAAAACCAAAATATTGACAATTATTTAGTGTGTAACTAACTATATGAAAGTTTTGTAGTGGAACTGAACCATATTCGATAGTTTGCTTCACTCCTCCTCTGTCTAGACAACAACTTGTTGAAATTTCTGTCAAAAAAGAGAAAGCTTAAAAGAAAACGGGAAGAAAGAGAGCAACAAAACTTTAACTTTCTCCGACAGCAATTTCTTTTTTTCCGACTCCTTCATTGTTTCAACCCAAAGCTGGTTCAGATCCGGTTCCAAAACCAGTTTCTTTTTGACGAGTGGCTGTCACTTTAAGAGTAAACATGAAAAAAACTTGGATGGAATTTTGTGTCATTCTTTACCGGTCTGGTAGCATTTATCCAATTGCCAAAATTGGTAATGGAATATAATCTATTGGTTTAGAAGTACATCAGCTGGAAATATTCCGGTAACAAGCGGAATTACGAATGTGACTCTATCAAGTTTAGAAACACCTTGTGATAAACCAGCGGAGAATAGAGAATAAATTTGAATTTCGCGTTAAAGTCATGATAGAAAATATATGAATTATGTAACAAAATACCAAGTATTTTTGAAACAATTTACAAATATTCATGTAACACGGTTAACCGTGCCAATTTTCTTCAAATATTTTTTAGCAAGAAATATTCAAGTTTTAGAAATTGCTGGGGTTTAAAGCCATTCAACATTTTGGGGAAATTTATTTACTTACAGACGTCCATAGATACGGAGCTGGCAAAATTAAGGGTCATTCAAAGACTTCTGAAGAGATATGCTGTAAAATTTACATGTTTCACAGGATTTTAACAGAACTTCTAAGGAACTCCTAAGAGTGCATAGTCTACGTAATTTTTAATTTTTGTAATTCTAAAAACGAATACGAAGTCGTTTGTTGTATAACTTATTCTTTCTGAGTGGTTTAAATAATGTCAGTATTGTTTCTGCCATGACGGACACATGGTTTTCTCCGAGCGTGGAAAACAAAGAGAAAGTAAGCTATCGATTTCTTCCTTTTGTTTATAAAAAATGGAAAATGGAGATAAAAACAACATGTTACTTTTCTCTTGTTGCTTTTTTGGGAGAGAAAGCAAAATAAAAAGAAAGTACTTGATCTATTTGTAGGGTTGCAATTTCATGCATCACTGCGTTTCGGCGTATGCAGTAATTTTCCCCGTAATTGAGAGATGCAAAAACAAGAGTATTTTTAAACCGGGGTAAAATTAGAGGAGGGAATTATTTACACTTAAATTTAGAAAGAAAACAAGGTGGGCAGAAAGTGGGCGAAAGATGAATGCAAGGGAAATACTCTACATTTTTTGGATTTTTATACGTTTTGGTTGAATTTCTTAATTATAATGCTACAAATTTTGTCTTTGTGGCACATACTATCACTTGGCTTTTGGGGAAATTTCCTCTTGTTTTCTGAAAAATCAGGTTTTAAGTTTCATTTCTCCTCCACTTTCAGCAACATTTTCATGAACTTTATGAAAATTTTGTGACAATTTTATTTTACTGCCTTCAATTAAATTTAAAGTTTTCAAACAATTTCTCTTTTCTGCCACTTTATCGACCATTTAGTCCCTTAATTTCTCCACCATGTACATTTATCCCACATTTATGTAATTCCTTACTCTATCCCTCCTCATTTACATATATTTCCCTTCTTCCTCCGTCATTTGCATAAACAAGACAACCCCAACAATTGATTTATCGATTCCTTCCAAATCAACAAATCCCCATTGTTCCAACTCACTCAGTCAGTGTCCCTCCGATGACACGTTGATATCTCCCTCGTCCTCCCGGCGTCCTCCTCTCACCAAAGGCAAAACCAACCTCGTCACCATTTCATCCGCAAACTTTCACCCGGATTAATAACGAAATAAAACATTTGTACATAATCCGTTGACTCGGAATTTCGGTAACAAACAGTAATTCGGATCGGATTGGATATTAATAGCGGTGTAATCTTTCGTAACGCAATAAATTAGCAGTTTACTAGTCCAACTTTACTCCCAGTTTATTCTCTCGTAGCCAATTTGGCACGATAATCTGGGCCCAATCGTGGCCCGACCCACTCATCTATTTTACAGGGGACGAGGCCATGTAATCCGCTCATATTTTATTACTTTGACTTTCTCCCCTTCGTTCGTTATACGAGAAGAAGAAGCAGTGGTGAAAGTGCAGCAATTGGCAAAAACAAGAACGAGAGGGAAAGTTGGTGAGAGATCAAGAGCGAGCCAGAGGCAATTGTCGAGTTGAGAATTGTCCTATTAAATAAAACAAAATAAAATAAAATATCCACGAAGAGAGGAAACGGAGGGAGGCATGGATGGTGTGGGAGGGGTCAAGCAGTATCCGTTTGGTGGGTGGTGAGTGAGTTCAGCAAAATTTTGGGAAGAAGTAAATGGATTTTTTTAACGACAGATTTCAACAGTACGGACACGGTTTAATTTGTGGAATGGATGAAATATCGTGATCAGGTCTGTAATAAAATTTCGCAAGTAACCATTATCACCAAAATTTTGCAGTAATTTCGACCCTATTTTGACCATAAACCCGCCTCAGTTTTACCAGGGGTTAATTTTCGTTTCCATAATATTTGCGCGATTGTGGAAAATATTTCGTCACACTTTGGCCCTTGTTTGGACTAAATTTTGACAGTATTACCGCATTTTAATTAATTTTTCGTGAAGTTTAAATACAATTTCGTCCCATTTTCATATAGAATTGTCCCATCCGGCTCTTTGATTTTGCCCTTCACTTTCACCCGAATTTTCTCTCTTTCCCTTCTTCCATTTAGTCGTTAGCACCACAATTTTCCACCCTTTTTTAGTTTCTCCTTTCTCTTCTAAAAAATCTCCCTTCTTCCTCTTCTCATTTCCATCTCCACGCGAATCCATGTTTGATCCCACACTTCTTCGCAAAAAAACCTACTCCAAACTGAACCTTCCTTCTCATCCTCTTGTTAAGATAACGTCTTCCCTCTCGACCTAATTACTCGTAAATTGTGTCGACTTTGTCCACTTTTATACCCGCTTTCTCCTACAAAAGTCATATAATTTTTTTAACTCGGAGCCCACCAAATCCAAATCCCGTCCTTCGAGGGCAGTTTAGTTCCTTCTTTTTTTGTATGGGGACGAATAAGATAAGGGCGTGGAAAAAATGAGGGAAAACTTCTCTCGGGGAAATAATCCCGGGTATTTTTCATCTTTTTTACACAAAATTTTTCTCTAGATCGTTTCCGAATGTAGTTTTTGAACAGGAAAAACATGGAGGAGAGAGAGAAAGCCATTATCTTTATGACTATTGGGAAACCGAGGAAATGATTAAATAGTTTAATTTACTGGGTATCCGAAAATCTGATATTTTTCTGCAGAAAAAATCCCGATCGGATTTTACACGAGATTTTATTTACTTTATTTTGCAATCCGGACATTTTCGATAAGCGGAAATGCCCCAGGAGGTGAGAAAAACACGTAAAATGAGAAAATCATCACCTGGTTCTTGGTGAAATCAGGGTAGAATCGCGATTGCTTTCTCTCTGGGGCGGAGTGGAACTCACGAAAGCACTAAAGCACTCACTAACAACAAACGACACTAAAAATATTTCACAAACTATCAGATCTACAGAGGATTGAAATCATCACGGAGAATTAAATTCTTTTGAATAACAAGGAACACAGATTTTAGACGAATTTCTTCATAATCCAAGAAAGAAAATGTGTGATTTTTCTTTTACTTCAAGAGAGATTTTAGTATCCTTTTTTTGTTGAATTCAGATGCACTGGTGGTAGTGAGGAGATTCGATTTCACAAATTAATTGTTTCAGTAAGGTTACTACAGTGTGATTTTTGAAGATTTCACAATTTTGCTTTTTTCTCTTGAATTGCAATTGTACAAAGTAATTTAGTTTCACAATTTTCCCTCAAATTGTTAAAATACACGAGTCGTTGGTCTCATTTAATGTCTTGTTTTCTGACAAACACAATAAATGAGCATGAGTAATTGGATATAATGCAGAAATAACTTCACAAACAGCACAAATATTACATAAAATTTATCAATCGCTAAAAACTTTCACTGAGCCAACAAAAATGAATTTTAAATACTTCAATTATTCTTCCACTGCAAATAAATGCCAATCAAGAACAACGGAAAAATTAACTTTCACTCCACTTTCACTACGTTAAATTTCCAGAAATGCCTTAGTTTACGCAAAGTGAATTTTAACATTTGTGAAGAAATTGTGTTAAAACTTGAAGAGTCGAATTTTGCACGGAGTTTGGAGCAGCGTGATTATTTCTCTTTCGAGGTCTGACGAAAACTGAGGAGTTTTTTGGACTGCAGTCGTCTCAAGTTGAGACGGAAATCGGGGAGAGAGGAGAAAGTCGACTGCTCAGTCGTTCAGTTTGCACAAGATTATTTGGTGCATACAGAATTACACTCTAAACAATGTGGTGGTTATCCGAAGAGTGACATTTTGTAAGAAATTTCCGAATTGGTAAAAGCATGAAGTTGCCCATGGTGAATGCTTATTCACTTCTAAATTTTGATGGTCACAAACTTTGCGGCACAAACTCTATCAAAACTTTGGAGTGTCATGTAAGCTACCAAGCAACATTGTGCTCCCGAAATTATTTGTATTGACAAAGTTATTGCAAATAGCGTCAATATTCGCAATGATATTAATAACCGTGTACATTGGGCGCGTTTCATGCAATTAAAAAAAAGAACAGACAGACTTCATTTATATTTTAGTCATTTGTAGCCCCATTACATTGTAACACCTTTACTGCATTTTCTAGGTTAAAATTTTTCAAAAAATGTGCTATGTTTAACGCCATTCGTTAATATTTTATAGATTTATCATACTATTTTGGAATTAAGATCGGAGACGATTGATCGCGTTTGACAAACTCATGAGAATTTTAACTATCATACCATTTCATGTTTCTACGCATGATGAAAATTTGTGATTTCTATGTAATTCGTACTAAAACAAAATATTAATAAAAGCTCGTGCCTAAGGGCACGATATTTTTTAAGTCATTCCGAATAACTGAAAATTTTTCAAAAATGATTTCGAAAATTTATAATTCTCAACTATAAATTACTTAATAAACTTTATAAAAAATTGAGCCCATCCACCAACGTTAGAGGATTTACCTATATTTATTTAAGTTTCTTAAAACAGCAAAGTTATATTCTAATTTCCTTCAATTTATTAACAATAATTTTAAAATTTTCGAATTGGAGCCAACGTATTTTGAACACAATTCGAACAATTTTAACGGATATTTATTCATAATCAGATTTTTTGATCTGTGTTTTCTTGGGGGGTTAAAATATTCAAGAAAATTTCTTTGGTCGAACGTTTTACATTAAAATGTGGAAAAATTTACAATTTTAATTAAATTCAGGATTCAGAGCTCGTCAATTTTAAAGATGTGCAAATTGCAGTTGTTGCATTTCCCACGTCAATGTATTCTTAAATGATGTACTAAATCATACAAGAAATGTGAATACCTACATCAGTTTCTGAAATTTGTAAGGAAAAATACTAACACGACTTCAGTAGAATACGATATGTAATATAGCGTATGTTCATAAACATATAATATGTTTATGAATCCCAGAAAACTGGGCAATTACAGAAAGAATAATTTCAAAATGCATTGGAGAAAGTACTGATAAATCGATAAATTCAAAACTACAACCGCAGAAAAGAACATACGAATCTAAAATTCATAACTGGGAGTATAAGTTTTGATAATTCCAAAAATGGCTTGAAACTCTGGCAACAAATTAGCTATATTTTTTAAATTTGTAACAGAATAATCATAATTACTTCTATGACAAATTGTCATTGACAATTCATTTCCATTTTTAAGAATTCTGAATTACTGGAATTTGCGCAAAATAATTCCAAACATAAGAATCATTGTAACTATAACTTTAAAAGAATCCAAAACTTCAGATTACTCCCGAATTATCAAAAACTAAAAAATTGAAAAAATTGTATTTAAACAATACCTCGATAACTTTGTAATCATAATATAAATAAAATCTACTACCACACAAAAGTTCGCTTGGAAAGATACATCACTGCCACACGTGGCAGATTCCAACTTTCACTCACTCATATCGTCACTTTCTGCTAGGGAGGGGAGAAAGTTGTTGCATATTCCATTAGCCAAATGTACTCACTCTTTCGTCAGGGAAGGACTCCTCTTCTCCGTATTGTCATTTTCCTTAAAGTGCACTTTTAAAAATATGATGATACACTTATTTCGTGTCACCACAAAATTATTCTAATCCATAAAAATAATTCGAAAATTTTCGAATTCGCAGCAGGTTGAAAAATATTCACATAAAGTTTAAAAGATATTTGCATATATACATAACCTAGCTTTTGTACAATAGATTGCTCTGCTCTCTGATGTAAAAATAATTTCATAAATTTGTTAGGGTTAAACATTTATCATTATAATTCGGGAAATTGAGGATTTAAAGTGTTTATAAGATCTCATGATTACTCTCCATGTTTGAAAAGTAGGGGAATGGAATTTTGTAATGGTGGTTTCACCATCACAATTTTCATAAAAGGTTTAATAATAAACCTAATATGACCCAAAGCTAACTGGTATTCAAATATTTTTTGGTAACAAACTAACTAGCAAGATCCAATTCTTAACATGCGATAACAATAATGGGGAAGACCCCATTATTGGGATATAAGAAAAGAATGAAAAGTAAGATTTAGAAAATGAAAATTAGTACAAAACGAGAACAAATTGGTAAAAAATAAAGCCAACTAATGCCAAAACTTGAGACATCATTATCAAAAATATGCCAAATGGAAGCAACATCTATTCGTGACCAAATTTTTGAGTGTGTGCCTCTGCAAATACTTGAAGTCTGTGTGATTGTGTAGCCAGTGAAATGAAGACGAGTTTCGCGGATGGTTTATTTTTGGACTCTGTTGTGCAGGAGGGCTTTAAAGTTGCAGATTTCAATTTATTCGAGTGCTGGATCTCTGTACAGCGAGTACAACAACGTCGAATACGGGACTGGCTACACGCCACGATTTCACTGAATCAGCATCCTAACCTTCACTCCAGACTAGATCTGGTTTTCATTGTTTTATGATTTTGAATATCGTGGGCGGATCACTGGCCGCACAATAATTTGTGTCCATTGACCATTTCGCGATGAATGGGATTGGAGTTACAACGAGGTTTTTGATGCTGTATTTCTAAGCAAACCCTGGTAACCAAATTTTGATACGTTAATTGAAGCATCGGTAACAGTTTGGTAAAGGAATAATTTCGGTGAAACTCAAATTTGCTACAAAACTGGTAACAATTTCTCAAATGATTTTTGACTTTCGAGGAGATCGTGGTCCCATTTCCTGTACCGAATCTTTGATAACACGGCTGAAGGTTGCAATGACTCCACGTGGTGATGATAGATAATTCCGAGCATTGAACAATCTACGTACGCAAGTTTTCCGGGAACTTATCTTGATTGTTTAAAAAATCGTCTAAAAGTATATAGCTACACTGCAAAAAATATCGTCACCAGATTTACACCGCGCGGTGTCTATATGTGGCTACACCGCTTTGGTGTAAAATCAACACGGTTGGTGTAAAAAAGTTTTGACACCAAAACGGTGACAATTCAGCACCGCTCCACATCTGTATTGCTACCAGTTGGGTGATATCGCTTGGTGTTGATTTTGCACTAACTGGTGACATTTTCTGTGCAAATTTAGTGTCATTGAAATAAAATCACATTAAATTATATAATTTACTTCATATGTTTGTTTATTATATGAACATTTTCATAAATCCAAATACAACTTGTTATTATTGGCATACAAATTAATTACAAATGATGTCTTAAAATAACATACATACCGTCCAATTTACAATTAGTTTGTATTTCAACTGCGTCATGAATTACTAAACTACTTATATTAATTAATTTAAACGTTTCTTGTACCGGGGAAATCTTATAAGCAAATATTTCGCGACAAAAATATTCTACTTTCAGTTCCTTAATTAGAATTAAACAAGAATTATCCTTTAGTACAATAAACTCGGAAATTAAGCCGAACTGGGGAAAAATTGGTCCTATTTCATAACATACAACAAAATTACATCTATAATTATAACCCCGAAACCAAACTTGGTTTGTTGTAAAAATTGAGGTATCATCATCAAAATCTTCGCAGCCTTCAAATCCCCGTAATAACTCAATCAAATCAAAAGAATCAGAAAATTGTGATAACAATAACGGATAAATATTATCTATTTTGATGTCACCGTTAAAGTCATCTCTACACATCACGTGAGACATATGTTGTTGATGCCTATTGGCGAGTGACATGCAAAGGTTTTTGTAATTCTTAATCTGGGTAGCTAGCTGAACAAAATAGTTGTGTTTCCCTTCGAACCTCATTGCCCAAAAGGAAATTAATGGGCCAGATTTTCTAATTACATATGAGTAATGTGTCATGAAATGATGTTTCGGAATTAATTTATGCTCCGGGAACAATTCTCTAAATAGCTTATGGTGTTTGATTATTGCTGCGTGCAAAGTCTCAATTGTTGCCTCGGAAAATTTTCGGCAAAAAATTAAACTCATACAATCCAACAACTGCAAAATCAATTCCCAATATTTCAATTGTTCCTCGGTCACAATTAAATCTCCTATAATAACTGGAAGAAATCTTACTAAACACCAGGCCTGAGCAGGGTTCGCTACCCCGGGTTTTTGTGGGTTGGGGTTTTTGGGGTTTTTGTGGGTTTTTGGGGTATCAAATCTCCGGAAAAACCCTAATGCTTAATGGGGTTTTTGCGGGTGTTTGCGGGTTTTTGTGGGTTTTTCCGGGGTTTTTGTAAGATTTTGAGGCAGATTGAAACAAAATCCCTTAAACTACAACGTAGATCAATGCTAATTAACTTTTCTGCCTCATCTTGAAATTTTGAGAATTTTCATTTGCGACTTGAATTTCCAAGTATCATTGCATATTTCCAGGTTTACATGTCAAACATGAATTTTCGATGTAATAGTCCAAATCAAGGATAACGGTTAAAATTGCATGTTAAAATCGTATATTAAATTAGTTTTTCTCTAATAAATAATTTTAGGAATTCTGGTTCAACCTGCCCCAAAATCTACAAAAACCCACAAAAACCCACAAAAACCCAAAAACCCACAAAAACCCCAAAAACCCCGGAAAAACCAACGGGGTTGGGCTTTTCTACAAAAACCCCGGGGTTTTCCGAACCCTGGG